GCCTTGGGAGGTTTCTTCCCCACAAGAGATGCCTGATAGAAAAACTCTTGCTGTCCCTTTGATTCCCTGGGCACGGGATTATTTGCAGCACAAACACGAGGACTGTATGCTTTATTTTGTAAGGAAGAGCGCTGTTATCTGCTTTCAGAAGGTTAAAACTCCAAAATTTGGATGCCCACTCGATCACTGGCACACAAAATGTGCCAGGACAGAAAGCTGCTCCTGTCTGCTGTGTGCTATGACTTGCATCTGAAGCACTCAGCCTTTCTGCCTTCCTTCCCGTGTAAAAGCACTGGAATACACTTTCAGGAGCCCAGAACTGAAATTATGATACTACCTCCAATATTGCTTATGTCCAAGAATTGCTCCTACACAAAAGGGGCCAGGAGAGAACCATCCTGCTGCAGTTTACCTCCTTACAGTATTATCATAAGTTTAAAACTGCTTCTTAAATTTTCTCAAAACCATTGTGAAAGAGGCTGGCAGGCTGGGAGGAGGAGGGTGTGTGGCTCACTAGGAGCAGGGTTCCCTGAGGGGACAGCCACAAAAAGAGCAACTAAAAGCTTTCGAATAACAACTGCATTGCCTGGGGAAAGCTGCACCTTTGCCTCACTAGAGCCCACCAGCAACTCCTGCTGGGTCTGGTTATAACTGCACTGGAAGGGGAAGCAGTACTGAATTGTTTGAAAGTTTCAGTAATGGTGCTGTTGTTTGTTCTGGTTTTGTTCTATATATTTTTAGTAAAGAACTGTTATTCCTTTTTCTACATTTTTGCCTGAAAGCCTCTTAATTTCAAAGTTATAATAACTCAGAGAGAGGGGTTTTCTTTTTTATATGGCTGCCTTGGAGTTTTTGATTTTTTGGGTAGATTTTAGAAGCAGTTGTGTAGTGAATGTAGATTTTAATGTAGCTGTATTATATCCCTAACCCTTAAGATAATGTTTACACATACCCAACCCTACTACCCCATTCCATATCAATCCTCCTAAAATTCTGTTAGTGTGTTTAGTCTTCTTTTCAAGGCAGAATTGTAGAAAAACACCCTAAGGCCTGGACCAGAAGATATCACACAGGCACAGCAACCTTCAAACCCAGAATCTGGAGGAACTCCAAGGACTGTACGGGCTGTGAAGAAGATGAAGATGAGGAAGAAGGGGTCCCAAACACCCCCAGGCTCAATTCCTGAAGGTCATGTCTGGGGGCAGAACGTGGCAGAACCGGGGGGTTGATGAATTGGGATTGGATGGACATCATTATAAAATCACAGAACCTGTGTTCGAAGGGGCACGCATGGTGTGCATTCCTCTAGGCCTGTAATAAATTAGTGGTAGTAGTTTAAATTTACTCATCAAATTAGTAATAGTAGTTTACTCATTAAATTGCATTGCATGTTATATTCTTATATACATATATATGTTATTATAATCAATGTTCTGTTAAGGTTGGGAGACTGTAAATTGCAGAATGGTTCATTAATCTGTCAGCATTGTAAACTGATAGTCATGCAGCTTGCAGTTCTTAAACTGGAAAGACAAATTATTGTGCCTGGCTGAATAAGTATTTTGTATCTTATTTTTATAAAATCTTATTGTCTCATAGCACACGCATAAAGTAACAAAGGGAAGGACAAGGATCAAAGGGTCAAGAATGAGAACGATACAGAGAATCCAAGATGGACATTTGGAGATACCGACACACTAAGCTACACGCTAGGCCTCAAGGACTAAGGACTAATTAAAACTATGGACAGGAAAGCACCTGGCAACTGAAAGGGGCCTGCAGGGAAGCCAACCAGAACCAGACCTGCAAACTTGGATCCAATAGAAGGATAGCAAGTGACTATGGGAGGGGAATTGATAAGGGAATAAAAGTTACTGGTTTTGCTTCCTGTCCATGCGTGCCGTGAGTGGAGCAGGGGCCTCCCCGACCACCCTGTTTTGCTTATTTGCATATTACATAAATCTTCAATAAATTTTATTACTATATTTCAGCCTAATTTCATTTACTTATAACAAGGCCTACCTCTGGACTTTCATTTCCTAATTCAAATGCTGGTTTCTATCGAATTCTTCCAATCTAGCTTGAAAGGTGCAAGTGTTGGAGCTACTGGAACACCCCTGACAGTTGGAAAAGGTTGTTTGGACTATTCTTGGAGTCGAGGCTCAGCTAGGAGAAAGCAAGAAAGTTTCCAACTGAATGACTCAGCCCTGTCCACAGCTGAGAAATACACAATCCCTTGCGGACCTGTTTCAATACTTTCAAGATGCAGCAGTAAATTCAGAGATTTTTCCACAGCAAATCCTCACAGACACCCACCCCTCCACCTAAAAGTGTCCCATACCAGGTCCATCTGCCTTCCCCCTGCCTGCAACTGCACAGTCTCTGCATCAGAAACCTCTCCCCAACCAGAAAGGCAGCCAAGGAACATGTTTCTCTTCTTTCATAGATGCATCCTCAGCCACATTCCCCCGTTGCCAAGACGCTGCCTTTCCTTGGGACTCAGGAGAAACTATCTCCAGTGCAGTTTAGAAACTCGGAGAAACTTGGGGCCGTTTCCTCTTTAGTGGCAAAGTTGTGTTTCTTACAAGTAACAAATACAAACTTTTAGTTCTTACAATACACTTCTGGAATACGAATTTTTTTTTTTTTTCCCATTTCTCTGTTACACAAGAAAGAGCAGCTACTCCATGTGAACCTGTGTCCCTGGTTCCCATGGTGGGCTTGCAGGTACTTGGACATTTGTGCATTGTTCAGATGGCATCACTGACTTCCCTCTGACAATTTGGCTGCTGCCTGGGCACTGTTCCCTAACAGTAACCCAAAGGGATCGTTCCTACAGAATGTTCAGAGACCCTATTGAGAAGGCGTAGAGCAACTGCTTCTCATTCTGTTGGCACTGCTTCTGCCACCTAGACCTGTCTGGCAAATAAACAAATAAAACAAACAAAATCCCCAAACAAAATAATGCAAAACAAAAGCATTTTTATCCACTGAAAGTGTTCAGGGATGATTTAATCTGCGGAAAGACACACCATTTCTTAGGATACACA